AAATGATGCTATTGTGCCCGCCTCTACCACCTCTGCTGGCAACACATTCCACACACCCACCACCCTCTGCGTAAAGACCTGCTGAGCTTTTCCAGAAACTTGTTTGTTTCTAGCATCCTAGTAAATCTCTTCTGAACCCTCTCCAGCTTGATAATATCCTTCCTATAATTGGGCAACCAGAACTGGACACAGTAGTCCAGAAGAAACCTCACCAATGTCCTGTACAATATCAACATGACTTCCCAACTCCCATAGTCAAAGTGTTCTGAGGAAGGGTCACCGCACCCAAAACGTTAACTCTGTTTTTTCCCTACACAGATGCTGCCAGACCTGCTGAGCTTTTCCAGCAACTTTTGTTTTTGTTTCTGATTCACAGCATCTGCAGTTCTCTCAGTTTTTACTCCCATAGTCAAAGGACTGAGCAATGAAGGCAAGCATGCCAAACACCTTTTCAACCACTGTGACCATATGTGACACAAACTTCAAAGATTTATGTACCTGCACCCCTAGGTCCCTCTGTTCTTCAACACTACCCAAGGCCCTACCATTAATTGTCTAAGCCCTACCCTTTCTTTCATACCAAAGTGCAATGCCTCATATTTATCCAGATTGAGCTCCATCTGCCATTTTTCAGCCCATTGACCCATTTGATCAAGATCCCTCTGTAATCATAGAAAGCCTTCTTCACTGTCTACTATGCCATCAATAACAATACCAATTTGGATAAAGGAACCTGAGGGCAATGTATAACATGATTAGTTATGGTCCCAAAACTGATCCCTGCGGAACTCCACTAATCAACGTCTGCCATCTAGAAAAAGACCCCTTTATCCCCACTCTGCCTTTTGCCAGTCAGCTAATCCTCTATTCATGCCAATACCTTGCCCCTAACCACATGAGCTTTTATTTAGCAGCCTCCTGTGTGGCACCTTGATAAACGCCTTCTGGAAATTTACTAAGATCACATCTACTAGCTCTCCTTTGTCTAACTTGGCCATCATGACTCCTCAGAATTCTAACACTTTTGTCAGGCATGACCAACCCTTGAGAAGCCATGCTGACTCAGCACTACCTTACCACACACTTCCAACTACCGTGCAATCTCATTCTTCACAATGGACTTCAAAATCTTACTAACGACCAAGATCAGGCTAACTAGCCTACAGTTTCCTATCTCATGTATCTCTCCCTTCCTAAACAGGGGTAATACATTAGCCTTTTTCCAGTCCACTGGAGTCGTCCCTGATTCCTGAAAAGTCACCACCAATACCTCCACAATTGCCTCAGCTATCTCTTTCAAAACTTGGGGGCATATTTTATCTGGTCCAGGTGATCTATCCATCTTCAGACCCTTCAGCCTTGCTAGCACCTTCTCCTTAATGATGGCCAAAACACTCAACTGTGCCCCTGACTTTCTTGAAATTCTCTGTTCCCTACTTCTCCAACCTCATTTTCCAATTGTCCAATGTCCACTTTTGCCATTCTCTTACATTTATATATCAAAAAACTTCTAATCTTCTTTTAAAGAACTCGCTAGCTTACCCTCATATTTCACCTTCTCTCTGCTTATCTGCTGGTTTTTAAAGGCTTCCCAGTAATCTTCCCACATTGTACACTTTTTCCTTTTGCTGTTATGCTGTCGCTGGCTTGCCTTGTCAGTTCCCCTTTGTAAGTTTCTTCTTCCATGGAATGAATTTCTGCAATGTCTCTTGAATTACCCCTAAAACCTCCTGCCCTTGCTGCTCCACCATCTTCCCTCTTAGGCTCCCCTTCCAATCAATTCTAGCCAGTTCCTCCCTTGTGTCTTTGTGGTTACCTTTACTCAATTATAATACCATTACATGTGATTCTACCTTCTCCCTCTCAAACTGCTGAGTGAAAGTTATCATGCTACGGTCACTGTCCCCTAGGGGTTCCTTCACCTTAAGCTCCCTAATCAAGTCTGCCCCATTACAGACAATCAAATCCAAAATTGCCTGTTCCCTCGTGGGGTCTATCACAAGCTGCTCAAAAAAAATCTTGAAGACATTCCACAAATTCCTTTTCTAGGGATCCGCTACCAACCTGATTTTCCCAATCTACCAATATTGAAGACCACCATGATTGTAATAGTGCATTTTTGACATGCCTTTTCTATCTCCTGATTTATTTCCTTCCCCACATCCTGACTACTGCTTGGATATCTGTAGATAACTATATCAGGGTCTTATCTCCTTTGCGGTTCCTCAACTCTACCCACACAACTTCTACGCCTTCCCATTCGATATCATTTCTTGCTATTGATTTAATTTCATTTCTTACCAACAAGGCAAACCCATCCCCTCTGCCAACCTGCCTGTCCTGTCGATAGGATGTGTAGCTTGGGATATTTAGTTTCCAGCCCTGATCCCCTTGCAGCCACATCTCTGTGATACCCACAGTGTGCCTGTCAACTTCAATATGCACTACAAACTCATCTAACTGGTTTCATAAAGTGTGCATTTCAGTTCAGCACCCTCTGTCCTGCATTCCCCGTCCCCTTTCTCAGTTGTCCCTTTATCTGCTGTGTTTGAAGTTAGATTCCTGACCCTTTCCATACACTGCCCTATTACTTGTTCTGAAAACTTTAATAACCTCCGAGTCCTCCTGCACCCCCCCTTTAACATTTTCCATAATTTTCCATGCATGGAATCCATACCCCCATAGGACTGAATACTAAACATTTGTGGATACAAATGCTCAAGAAAAATAGGAATCTAACCATTCTCCTGAATATTCAAAGATGTTATGTTCACTTTACCATTCATCATCTATATCCTGGTGGCTTACCATGGAACAGAAATTGAACTGGACCAGGTATATAAATACTGCGGTTGTAATAACAGTCAGAGATTGGGAATTTTGCAGTAACTCATTTCATTACTGAGCAAAAGCAGTCCATCACAAATCAGGAATGTGAATGAACACACTGTACTTGCTGGAGCTGCACTCATCCAGACAAGACTGAAGAAGTTCAACACCTTAAATATGCACAGTCTATGACCGATGCACAGGAGCAGTAGCCTGTAGCAAGTATAAGATGTACAGTAGTAACTTGCCGTCTTCCAAAGTACCTTCCAAACCCATCCTCTCCACAATCTAGAAGGACAAGATCAGCATTGTCATGGGAATATCAGCTGCTAGTTCCCTCCAAGCACTACACAACCCTGATTTGGAACTACAGGTGCTCCTCACTTAACTTCAACAAAGGGTTTTGCAAGGCTCTTGTGGCACAGTGTAGCATCCTTATCCCTGGACCGAATGACCCGGGTTTAAGTCTCACCTGCTCCAGAGGTGTATAATTACATCTCTGAACAGGTTGATTAGGAAAATAGACTTGAAAAAAAGAATGCTAGCTTAGGAGGAGCCCTTGTGGTGCAGAGATAGTATCCCTACCTCTGAGCCAGAAGACTTGGGCTCAAGTCCCATCTGCTCCAGAGGTGTAACATCACATCTTTGGACAGGTTGATTAAAAAAAAAAAACACAATGGTAGCTTGGAGATCAGAATTCCTTATTGCTTTTCTGAGAATGGTACCATGGTGTCCTTCCTGGGGGTCTAAAATTTCTTAAAATGTTGTTTGAAATTTTTATCCGTTTTCAAGGTGCCAGAAGTGGCATAAATGCATTAGCCAATGGACGCATAATTAAGAGATAGTAGGAACTGCAGATGCTGGAGAATCTGAGATAACAAGGTGTAGAACTGGATGAACACAGCAGGCCAAGCAGCATCAGAGGAGCAGGAAGGCTGACATTTCAGGCTAGACCCTTCTTCAGAAAAAAAAAATTAACGCATAATTAAAGTCATTTCACAAAAGAAAAGGACTGTTGTGGTAGCACTGAATAAATTGATTAAATTAAAAGATATATAAAGCAGATCCAGAGGGGCCCACTTATGGTGCAGTGGTAGTAGCCCAACCCCTGGACTGGGAGGCCCTGTTCAAGTCCCACTTGCTCCGGAGTTGTGCAATAACATTTGTGAATAGGTGGATTACAAAAATAGATTAAACAAAGGGTTTTACAGGGCTCTTGTGCTGCATTGGTAGTGTCCCTATCCCTGAACCGGGAGGCCTGGGTTCAAGTCTCATCTGCTCCAGCAGACAGACATAGGAATAAGCCAGCAAGTGGCGATAGGGAGCCTGCTGTTGCAAAGAGAGTGATGCAAGCTGCCAGCCTGTCAACTATATATGTGCATTTTGTTACATCTTGTTATTAATTATGCTTACTATTTCAGCTAAGAATTCACATGCTTAATACAGCTGGGCAACCTGTTCATTTTCCTAGTTGGAAAAAACAATATTCCAAGGAATTGGAAACAGTAAGGACTGCAGATGCTGGAAGTTACAGTCAATAAATGTGGAGCTGGAAAAGCACAGCAGGTCAGTCCTGAAGAAGGGTTTCGGCCTGAAACGTTGATTTTCTTGCTCCTCGGATGCTGTCTGATCTGCTGTCATTTTCCAGCTCCAAACTCCAAGGGATCTAACTCTAGCTTTAACATCAATTCCTATGGGAACACAGCATTCATCTAAAGTTGTTTCACTTAAAGTTTCTCAGGATTGCAGCCAAGATTCTCCTTTTTTTAATTATTTGTTCATGGGATGTCAGAGTTGCTGGTTGGCCAGCATTTATTGTGCATCCTAACTGCCCTGGAGAAGGTGGTGGTGATGAGCACTACCTGTATATTTCTGTTTCCTTACTTTGACTGGCTCAATATTTGGAATTCCATGTCTGACAGTAATTAAGGGTGTACTTGAACCAGATAAACTGCAGCAATTCAACAAGTGGCTCACCATCACTTTCTCAGGGGCAATTAGGGATGAGCAAGAAATGTTGGCCTTCACAGTGGTGCCCAAGTCCAATGAAAGAACAAAATAAGAAGGGAAGATGGAGCGGTAGAAAACAATATATCACAAACCACAATCATAAAATCCAGAAAATTCTCAGGCCCAAGTTTCAAATTTAAAAATACTTACAGACATTGGAAGATGGAGAAATTGGCACATCTGTCAACTTACAGTTACAAGAAAAACTATTTAAGAATAATTTTGAAATGTGAAAATATCACTAAAATCTAAAACAAAACGTTTAAAGACAGACAACTTTTGTACAAAACATTAGAAAAAATCTTGTCTGACCTGAAAACAGACCCTAGGCCAATGATTCAAAGGAAGTAATGATCCTATCCTTCGAACAATACTACGAGTCTGTCCATATGGTTTGCTTTGCCATTGCTGGAAAAACTGCTTTTTAAAACAAAAAAATACATAAATATGCAGTAACACTTTTTTTAAAAATTTTAATTACAAAGCATTTAAAATGCTGCAACATTTAACAGCATTGATCTTATTATTACCACCGACAAAGTATTTGCAATCGGCCCATTTTAAGATTATTATAATACTATTCTAAAGATAGACATATGACTTAAAAAGAAACACAGTTTAAACAGTACGATCAAGACACTTCTGCTTCAATATTTTGTATCTATTTCTCTCACCCACGTTTAGCAATCAAGCCCCACTTACAATCAAGCTCAAAAATTGTGAACTTACCAAGTCAGATGATATCCCAAAGTATTCTAGTACTTCACAAATAAAATTTAGCAGGCGAGACATCAGGTGATTTAGCGTAGTCACCACTGAACATTTCTTTGTTCACATTTAATTACCAGAACAAAATGCAGATAAAATACTATAAGGAAGGAAAACAACAACCTATAGATAAAACTTGCAAGAAAATTATCACAATAAGTTAATGATTATGAAAATCTCACATTAATATTTGGAAGAATTCACTCCTAAATGTCCCTTTTTAAGAGTACTAAGCCCTAACTAAACCATTCTGACAATATATTTAAGCAGGACTTAAATTACTCATTAAACTTTCAGACCCGAGTACCATCCATCACATTATGACAACCTGACTCTGATCTTCTAACGAGTAAAAGTATAATACTAAAATGCAGTGCTTTTTTTCCTTTATATGTTCGTAAGCAATGGGAAACTATGCATCACTAAAATACCTCCTAATAAGACTTATACAGCAACAAGCACATAATGTGGTGCCGTGGTAATTTCTCTACCACTAAGCCAGGAGACCTAGGCTAAATAAAAACCAAAAGAACTGCAGATGCTGTAAATCAGGAACAAAAACAAAGTTGCTGGAAAAGCTCAGCAGGTCTGGCAGCATCTGTGGAGGAGAAAACAAAGTTAACGTTTCAGGTCGGGTGACCCTTCCTCAGACCTAGGCTAAATACCCATCAACTCAAAAGGTGTATTATAACATTTCTGGAACAGGTTAATTTTAAAAAGGAAAACTTGAAGAACAGCTGAAAAAAAGACCACAATTTTAAAGAGAAATTGTAACATTTACAAGTTTGTCCATCATATAGAGGTGAGCGAGATTTCAAGTTGTGAAGATTCAAGATACTTAGTCATAGAGTCACAGAGCTGTACAGTATGGAAACAGACCCTTCAGCCCACATCATCTATGCTGACCAGACATGCTAAATTAATCTTGTCCCATTTGTCAGCATTTGGCCCAAATCCCTCTAAACCCTTCCTATTCATATACTCATCCACCACCTCCTCTGGCAGCTCATTCCATATACACACCAGCCTCTGCTTTAAAAAGTTGCCCCTTAGGTCCCTATTAAATCTTACCCATCTCACCTTAAATATACACCCTCTGGGTTTGGAATCCCCTAGCCTGGGGAAAAGACCTTGACTGTTCACCCTATCCATTGAGCATCTTCAAAACAAATAGGTTTCTGGACATTAATGGCAGCAAGGGATGAGGAAATAATGCAGGGAAGCGACATTTAAGTAGACAATTTAGCCGCGGTCTAAGTGAATGGAGGAGGTAACTCGACAGGCTGAGTGGGGTACCCCAGTTCCTATGAAATAGGAAGGGAAGTACAAGAGTCTTTTATTCAAATAAATTCAATGGAAGAAAACGATTTTTAAACTTTTTTTCACAATCAACATGTTAAATATTAATTTTATCATACCGTGAAAACCAACTTAGATCCCTCCCACATCCCCCACTCCCACTTTCTTCTTGATCTCTTTCCGTCCCGCACATGCCTTGCCCTTCCCTGATTCCACTCTCCTTCCTTCCTCCACCTCTCCTGTTCTCCTTCCTTTTTTCCCATTTCTTTTTCTCTCTCACCTCCTGTTGAACCTTCTTCCACTAAACATTCAAATTTCTCGTGATTAACTGAAAAAAAAATTACCCTCCAGTAAAGCGCCGCCTGATTGGCCCTTTTGACCCAGCCTATGAAGCGGTCCAATGGGGGGGGGTCGGATCCGCCTGGGGTTGTCCAATCAGAAGAGAGCTTGGGGAAACGGCGGTTCATTCGGTGACAGCGAGCGGAAGGTGTCTTCTCGACCTGAAATCGTACCCCTTCTCCCCAATTTGAAATCATATCTTCCCCCCAAA